TAAAGGCATCCAATGCGATTTTAGGGCAGCAAAACTGGAAATATTCTGAATATGGCAATCTTTGTGATATTGAGTCATACTGCTTCACATTAGCATATTTGAGTCAGTATTTCATACTTTTGGCTTTTAAAACTGCAGAAACAAGCCCCAAGAGGAGTCTTTTATTTTCTGGGTGGTACCCTAAAAATCAGCCTAGGGCCCTTCCAGTGACCATTTTCCGTCAGGATTTTAGTAAATTTTGCTCCATGAGGGGATAGAGTTGTTTCAACTCAGTATGTAGATAAATGACTAGAATATTGACTTTGAAAAATCAGGTTTTCAAGCCCTAAAAACTGCACTGGATTCCTTTTTTGTTCATAACCATATATATTCTCTGTCCCCAGGCTCAACCATGGCAGGCCGTGTTGTGTACTCCAGTGCAGTAATACTGCTGCTGTGTGTGGTACAGATCAGTCTCACCTCCGACTCACACTACACGAACTACTGGGTGGTACGGGTGCCCGGCGGGGAGGCTGCTGCCCGGGACGTGGCCGCCAGGAACGGGTTCAAATACCTCCATAAGGTGAGTGCTTAATGAAACTTCTCTCACTGAAGTACTCACATCATTACATTGTCCAAGTGCCTGTCTCTAAGTCCTTCTACGGCAATAATGCATGCAGACTTGCAGGCTGCGAGTTTGAAAGCTTCAGAATCTCCAGTTATGTTTGAGTATGCAGTTTCCCATAGCTACATTTGTATTGTCAACTGTCCAAGTGAGGCGGTGGGTCAGCATCCTGTGGTCTGTGGTTAGAGAATTCCCCCACCCATGTGCTGTCAGTCAACTGTATGGGCACACAAGGAAACACACACACACACACACACACAGAACAAACCCAAAACAATACCTTTGCACCAGCTGGAGGTTATTATAATGAGGGAGAATTTGTCTCTTTCTGCACAAAACCTGATCTAGAACTCTCCCTGGAAGATCACAGGTTATTGCCAGTCCAGAAAACTGAAAATTGTTGCAGTTAATCCTGATTTTTCTCTGCACTCAGTTCTGGTCTAGTTAAAGTCTGAGAATGAGTTAGGTAGAATTTTATCACACAGTTAGGTAAGCACGTAGGCAGGCAGGCAGGCAGGTTAGGTAAGTTACTGAGTTAGGCCTTGCACACTTTTGACAACTACTCATCAGTGCAAGGGCATATTTACCTCCAGGTATGGAGGTATTGTTTTGGGTTTGTGTTTGCTTGTGTTCATAGTGGCAGGAGGAGTACATTTGTAACAGCAGATTGAACTGAAGGTCAAGCTGCATAGAAAAAGTGGAAATATATGTTAACAATCCGAAAACACAGTTGGATTTTATGGCAAAAGAGTTGGAAACTTTTGGCTGCTTTCTGTTACTGCCTGGTATGATAATAGAACTGATTCAAAATGTATGCTTAGAAGAAAAATATTTTTGGGTAGAACATATTACAGATGTACTAATACTTATAGGTACATACATGTATACGTGTAGTGGTCAGTGTTGTCTTATCCCACCTGCCACACTGTGACCTTGTCACTCACCAGTTGTTAACCCCTGACCCTTACACGACCTCTAACCAACCATGGCCTTGGGGCAGATCAGTTGTGGTTGTTTTTAGAACCAATGTTGTTTGTGGATGTAATTTCCTCTGGTTCACTGCACAAAACAGAACACCCGGAAAAACTTTAATCCACACTTCTCGCCAACACAAGCATGTCATGGCTGGGAGATCACGGGGAATTTCTTCAGGTCCAAACAGGTGGATGTGGGGATGTGCGCTGCGATGTGTGTAGGAAGTGGTGAGGTGATAGAACAATGTGATAAGACAGTAGGTCAGCACTTGCCGCAGGGCCTTCAGCCTGACGACTTCACCCATCAAAGGGTGTTCTTTGTTCCCGCTGTCAGCCTTCGTTTGCCCCTCATTAATAACCGCGTTGTTAGATAAGTTCTCCCCGAGGGTGGGAAGAAGATGAATCTGGTTGCTAGGGGAAACGGAGATTGTGCGGGAGATTGTGGTTGGACGGCCACGTTTCTGTACCGCGGCGGTGACCAGACACGGTCAAACGGAGCTCAACAAACTTTTCTGTGACAAATTATTATGATTCTTGTAGTCAACATATCGGGGCAGTTAATAATTCAAACATTCAAATTTTTCAAACTTTTTTTCAAATCAATGATAGATGGATAAAATTAGGGCAACTAGGAAGGCAAGGAGCTTTCTTCAATTATTTGGACCAAAAATGTGAAAATTTTGGAGTTGACCTGGAACGGTTACTTGATTCCTTTTTTTTTTTTTGCAAATCTAAAAAAAAAATGAATTGGGCAAAGCCGAGAACCAATTAATTAAATTAGTGTGGCGCTAGTATGTGGAAACAATTTTTTGGGAGGTTTTATTCACTATACTGTGGAATCATGTTTTTTTTTCTAAATTGCAATGTACCAGTCCTTTTTTCTCTTTTTTATATTTTTTAAATGAAAATTAGAATTATGACAAATCTTTTTACACTCAGTCTGTAAGCAGCAAAATTAGACTGTACGGTATATAACTTTTGAACTTATTTTCATGCTACATTTTGATATTTTTGGAACCTAGCTGAGCTGGAAATAATTTTGTTGTCACACATACACATGTTTACATCTATTTACCAAGTTTTGTTGCTCTGTTGCTTATTTGTGCATCTAGTAAACGTTTCCAGAGTGCAGAGTTGTGTAAAACCACCATCTGTACCAAGAGTCAGCAATGTCTGAGTCATGATTTGATATAGCTGAGGGATTTGCGCTAATTAACACCTCATAATTACCACGGGGTAGAATTAACGAGCATAATGGCAGGGATATACTGTTGTAAAAACAGCACCTCAGTGAGAAGGATAGTTTGGTGCCAGGTGGTCACTTCTACTGATGAGTCAATTGTTCTTTGATTGAGTCAGGGAGACAAAAAGGCGGAATCAGCCTACTTGCTGAAAATCCTAATGACCTTGTGGCCACTGTACCACACACCGAGCCTATTGTCCCTTTTACCTTTTGCACTACCCAGGGTACCGGTAGATCTGGTGTGTGAATAGTCAGTACCGTTGACTTAGACATACATGTAGCTTAGGCCACACTAATTTAATTCCTTGGCTAACGGATTTTTCTAGAAAAATAATGGAGCGGGCGGAAAAAAATGAAATAAAAACAGGCCTAGGCATCCTACGTTTTGTATTATGGCCCAAAATGGTACGATAGGAGCCATGAAGTCAACACACCAGGCTGGTTCAAAATTTAAACAATGAATTTTCAACTTTTAATGATACCTCTGCATTGAAAGATGGAATAACTGTAACAACTAGGAAGAAAAGGACTGTTTTCAACTGTTCTGGGCAAAATATGAGCATTTTGCAGTTGATTCTGAATTTTTTTTTTTTTTGCAAATCAGAAAAAAAATAAGCGGGCGAATCCATTAACCAAGAAATTAAATTGGTGTGGCCTTATCACACAGTTGTTAAAGGCACCCAAAGCAGTGTCAGTAGTAAAACTGGATTTTCAAAGTCAATTTTCTGGTCGTATTTCCATGTAGTATTACTTGAATCAACCCTATCCCATCTTTGTGAAGCAAATATGATGTCACTGACAGAAAATGGCTGCTGGTTTCATATCGTAGGCTTATCTAGCTATTTATTGGTGGTACCAAAAAATAAACAAGGTACATGTACTCGTCATGTAGCTTGTTTTGGTTCTATTCTAAAAGCTTCAAGTATGAAATGATGATGAAAATTTACGTGCTAAGAAATGGCAGTAAAAAGACCTTCATCCAGAATTTTTTTTTTGCTTTGCTGCCCTGAAATTACATTTGAAGCCTTTAACAATAGAGAAGGAAAATGAGATCTCAGGGTTTACATTAAACAACATAATCATATTATCCTCTGGTATGGGCTTGTTGTACTGTAAGTCTTGAAACTTCTGCAATGGCCTTATTTTCATGCAGTGACATTTCCACTGCAAATTCATGACTTCACAAACAAGTATTTCCAATGTGTTACATTTGTACTACTAACTGTACTGCAGAGTTGTTCTAACTGTGAATATAAGTTGCAAAAGTAAATGAATTTACAGTATATTTAAGGCTATCTCCAAGCAGATGTTTGGGGAGGTTAATGTTAATGTTTTCCTAGCTGCCCTTTTCTACACGTGTATGTCAAACTACCAGAAAAAACATCATACTAATGAATATCATGTCAGCCTATAACTTTATTCTGCAGCCAGTTATCTACATTTGTACACCCAGGCCTTGATTTTTGCCTAAATTCGTGTGTTTGATTATATGGAGTACTCATGTGATCATCATTTCAAAATGAATCAAATTAAGTCGAGTCACACGGCTGTTTTTCCAGTCACACAGGCGACCATTTTCGACACAGTATGGAGCCCTGCTTTCTACCAAGGGACAAAAAGACAAGTCACATATATTCTATATATTTTGAATATTATAGTGATGACAATTTGAACATTTTGGTGGTTTGAATATTTTGCCTACAGTTTGACCACCTTGCGGACCACTACACCCTACTGCACGATCAGACTGAAGCTCGATCCAAGAGGAGTGCGGATAATGTGAACACAAAGCTGGCGTCGGACCCCCAGGTACACCAACTGTACAGTAGTGTATTACTAAGGGAGGGTTACTCAGGGAATTTCTATTTCTAGTTTGTTAGTCTGACAGGGCTAGAAATACCAGGGTGCATGTGCGCCTTGGTGCATGCAAAATTGGAGCTGTGCACCAATTCTTTTTCCGTAGGTGCACTGGTGCAACAAAATATTTTGAAATTTGTAGATTTGTACACGTCTTTATTGCAAAGATGTTACCTACAAATGTAGTATTCAGCATATTCTTGACATCTACAATGTAAGTATCAAAAACATGTTAAAATCTTTTTTCAAGATTATTTTATATGGTGACCCAAAATTGTGTGCACCCAATCTTTTTATGCACCCAACAACTGTACAATATTTGCCTGAACACAGCAAACTAGAAAATGTATCATTCAATATGATATTTTTGTACTGAAGTAGTTTTCCCCTCAACATGCCGCTCTGTTGTTCCCTCTGCAGGTGCACTGGCTGGCCCAGCAGGTGGCACACAAGCGGGTGAAACGGCAGCTGTTTGCAGACGAGGATCCCTTTGCTTGGAAAGAGGAGACCTTTGTTGGAGACGAGTACCCTGATATCTCGCTGAGTGAGAGCAGGAGGGAAGAGATGATGGCAAAGAGAGGAGAAATACCAGACGAGCAGGTAAAATATAGAATACAACACAGTGTGTTTTTTTTTTTTTTTACCGTTTAACGTCATCTTTCCCCGAACTGGGGGTTAGACCTGGGTCCCCTTGCTTGATAGTCGGATGTTCTATCCACTACACCACACAGAAAGTGTATAATTCCATATCACCTGAGGTACCAGTACCACCCCTGGGAGGGCTTAGACCCATACAATGTACACCATGTTGTATTTTATTTATTTCATACCCACCCATTGGCAAGAAAACATTTTTCAATGCGAAATATGCCAAAAGTTCCTGCTCCTAAACCAAAAATTGCAACATTAAACCTAATGTCCGAATCCGGTATTTGGATTTTCAAAAGCAGCGCAAAACGCGTTTGAATTATTTTGTGTAACATCTAGAAGCTAGTGTGATAACTGATAGAACCCCATTTGATACAGCAAGTTATCACATGGCCAGAACACCTGTATCGAATGTTATTGCAGCCCAGGTATAAACATGAAATACTGCTGTCACAATGTCACTATATGAAATTTTATTATGAGGTTTTCTGTGATTCTGTCTGGATAATTATTATTGTTTATTATGTATTTGTTGTTAAGTTGTATTTTAAAAATTGGATCTGTGGTTATGCTTTTCTTTCCCTATATATGTTTTTTGTATATTTTATATTCTGATAGAAAAGTTGTACCTCTGCCTTCCCAGAGTTCTGAGGTGGAACAGGAAAAGAAAAGCTCTGATGGAGACAAGGCGGAGGCACGGGCGGCCGTGGATGACTTTGTGAACTCTGTCATTGAGCAAGGTCACAGCGAGAAGGTGGACCACATGGTCAAGTTTAACGACCCTGAGTACAGCAGGATGTGGTATTTGGTGAGTCATCTTTTTTATGTTAACCGAAGAAAAACAAATATTTGTTTTTTCTCAGTTTCTTCCTCTTCCTCTTCTTCTTCTCCAAACAGTGACCTCTGACCTGACGAATGACATGATTTGTTGACGTCTGTCACCATGGTGACTGGTGTTGGGTTACATAATGTTGCAGTTTCATGGTCTGCTCTGCTACTGTCACCATATACTTGTCTAGTAGTTCATGTATGTGATTGTGTTTGAGTAAGAATTAACTGAGCAGACCATGTCCGAAAGTAAACATTATGCATTTGCTTTGCAAATGTTACTTCTCTAGTTTAACATTTTTTTCATAATTATATTAAACTTTGCAGAAGGAAAACATTATAATATTGTTTTTGCTATAGTAAGTTTCCTCTTCTTCTTCCATTCCAAACAAACTAATAATGTCATTGACATGGACCAGACGTCTATCACCATGGTAACTTGTGCAACAGGAAGTTGAACAACTAATTATATAACTTTAGAGCTGTACTAACAATATAGCACTGTCACATTGTGACCTTGAAATAACCTACTTTTCTGTTTTACAAACTTGCAACTAACAGGATATTGGTGGTGGTGAGTGCTCCACTTTCTCTATCTAGTCTCTTTCCTTCTTGGTTGGTAGTCAAGTGTTATTACGATAATAAATAATACATACATGTAGAATAAGATGAACAGTATTATCAGTAGCTTGTATCAAAATTTGTTTGCTTGCAATCAGTCCTCAGGCGTTGTTTTATAATTATATATTATGTATATCAAAAATAGTAATGTAAGTTATGAAATGTAAAATTAGGCTTTAAGAATTCACCTGCTACATGTAATTACCTCATCTCTCAACTTTTGAAGAGGAAAAAAGTCTCAAAAACATCATGAAATTATCAATTTACAAAAAGAGATAAAAATGCCCTATTTTGCATGGAAATATTTATCCCAAAATAAATAAATGAAGAGTTTCCAACAGAAATTGCTGAGGGGATCAAAACTGTAGACAAACAAGACAAAAAAAAAAAAGATTTGAAAAAGCTACTGACTGGGACAAACAGGATATAACTTGTCAACAAACATTGAAGTAGGGACAGGTTACAGTTCGAAGCTGGAAAGGCCTATTGTTAAGGTACTTGCAGGTGTGCATTGTGTCATCTGTTTGTGTGCTTCAGTAACCACAAACATGGCAGGTTTCATAAACAAGAGCTGTTCGTGCGCTCTGAGTTTTGTCAGCAAGGTGGGAAGGTCGTCCTGTCAATCAGACACATGGTGTCATCTGAAGTTCACAAAAATCACGTCAAGGAAACTGCAACAAGTCCTGTATAAACAATGCCTGACACCTACATACATGTATATATCTAATCCATACAGTCATGACGTATATATCTATCCTTCGCATTTAATATTCCATGCATATTCTGAGCACAGTCTATTGGTCCGCAGACTTGTTATGGGCATTAATGTTGATCTCAGGTCTTTTTGGATTGTTTTTTTTAACCATGCATAGTTTGCTGCTCTGTATGATTTTAGTTGATAATATGTTACATGTATGTCACTATGTGTCATAGCTAGGAAAAACAAATTATAGGGAATGAAATGTAAATCAAGCAACTGACAAATTCTCTGAAAAGTCAGATATTTCAGATCTTTCCTTTAAGTCAAAGTGGATCATATCTGAAATGTCTGATTCCTAATAGTTTTAGTTTTCTTTTGTATCAAGAAAATTTATTTAATGTAAATTATCATTCTACCTGTGCGTCTAACCTTCATTGATGTGCAAAAACAAGAAATTACTACATGTTTAGACATCATTAATATCTGGATATGTTGATCTGGATCATTGAAAGGTGTTTGTGATTTCAGCATAACGATGGCCAAACTAAGGGACCAAAGGGCCTGGACATTAACGTGATTCCAGCCTGGGTGAATGGTTACACAGGGAAGGGCATTGTGGCAACTATTGTTGACGACGGTAAGGCAATTCTACACTGTTTTCAAACTAACAAGCCAAAATAACAATTTGAAAATTAATGTTACCCCTAGAAGTATAATCAGTAACATCATTGCCTCCATGTACAGAGGTTTTGTTTTCAGTGTGTTTGTTTGCTTGCTTGAATTGTGTGTCCAATTTATTTGAATACAGTAGAGGCATAGGAAGTGAATGGGTAGACTGACAGGAAGGTCAAATTGGATGTTAGAATGGTCTGCTGCAGGCTTAAAGGAAGTGAATGGTACCATGACTTTAAATGCACTTGATGGTACATTATCTCAATTCATAAAATATAATATTTCTGTCTTCTGCTCTATGCAATGTCTTGTTGCCTTCAATAATTGAAGCCACTGGGGGCAATGCGTGTACAGAATCAGCCAAAACCTCACACTAAGACAAAAGTCAACAAAGTCACAACTAGAAATACTTCACAAAGGTGTACTGTGAAGTCTTTGACATTTTATTTGATGTTGAGCTTTACAGAGCTTACAACAGATAGGAAACTTTCTTCACAGTTAGTTTACACTGTCTGTATAATGTTCATTTTAAGAGGGTCTCATGGGGGATCCGGCAACACTTAAATTTAGGAGGGTCAGCAACGCTTAAAAAAAATTAAGATATGCCATTGTAAGATATAATATCCCGGTTAAAAAAAACTGATAGGCTGTGAACTGTGACAAAACTGGATGTTCCATTGTGACTTTTGAGTAGTCATAAAAATGATGACTCAGCTGTATTATAGATGCCACCTTATTTTGACACATTCCCATCTGCCATTCAAGAAAAGCAACAAAAAATGAGGTGATGTCATCATCCAGCTATCCCACGATGGTGGCCCAGAGTACACGAGTGTTTACAAATTGTAGCTGGGTAGGACAATGAAGTTGCCATGGCAACAGGCTACCCATAGAGAGACAGCCGGGAGGTAACAATAGATGAAAGAACTGTAGGGTGACGTGTGTCAGGCAGAAATGCTGGGCAGACCGCTGTTCTGTGTGGCACACAGCGTGCGTGTGTGCCCACCTCCCACATTCAGCTAGCCTCCGTAGCAGGCTTATAGGAAGGCGTAATCAGGCCGTTTTAGACTAAATTCGGTATAGGCGTAATTCGTAGGCACCCTCCGCAAAAATCAACGTAATTCGTAATTGGACATTAGCTGCAAATCGTCATCGCAGTCGTAATCAGCTCTGAGACTTTGACGTAATTCGTAATAGGCGGCGAAAATTTTGCGTAATTCGTAATCACTTTCAAATTGGTGGTCTGCGGCTGTTTTTTGACGGGGGTAATTCAACCAGGCCGGCTATATGTTCAACGACAGTCTATATGCAATCAGAAAATAGCACATAAAAGCTCCCAAAGACCATGAAGACCCCAAAAACCCCAGTTTTTGGCTTGCTTTAACATTCAGCCCCGTCGGTCGACTCAGCTTGTACATTTGTATGCAGATTAGACCTGTTTACCACAGACCCTTGTCCCCCTAGAACTTAATATATAATCTATGGGTAAATTCCAAATATTTAGAACTTTTAGTTAATAGTAATGAGTCAAATGGTTTATTTAGTAGGTGAAACAGCTCGAAATTCATTTGGGGGCACCTAAAAATTTTGGTGCAATTAAATATATTAAAAAAAATTGTTGGTGCTCTTCCTTGGTCTCAAGAGAAAAAAAATACAGTATGCAATGTCATAAATACAATCATATAGAATGTCAGCAAATCCTAAATTAAACCTTAATTAAATATCCTCCCTTCAACATCAACTCTACGGCAACAAACTTTTTTCTACCACTCAATTAAATGCCAAGAATAATATTGCGGTATGTTAAATTAGATTTAAGTGTACATGTACAAGAGTGGTTTTTCATGAGTTTGCAGGACTGAATTGTATTTTAACTGATTGAATTGCACCACTTCAGTACAAAAAGTATTGCTAGGAGATCTTGCTGTTGTTATACTTTATAATGGGCAGTATGATGAACTTTAATGACCAAGGTTTAAAATTGGTGTTCTAGGATGACGTGATGACTTACACAATTGATTCTAGACAGTATTTTATAGTACTGTAGTCAAGTCAAAGTATGATAGTTAAAATTAATTGAAAACACGACTGTTGTTGAAACAGTAAGATGTGGAAAATATTAAATAATATAAATAATAATATAATAATATTGAAGTAACTGTTACTTTTCTTTGTTTTAAGGATGGATGTTTCTTTAAAAAAATTGATGTTTCTGTATTTTGTTTAGGACACAACGTTTGTATTTTACAGCACAGCTAACCTGAACTTGTTTGTGACATTTGATCTTTAGAGAGACTCCCTTTTCCCTGTTGTCAGCAGTTTGTGGTTCCTAATACAGTAGCGAGGGCGCTGGAACAAACACAGCGACCCTGTGCCACTTTTGTGTGAGGGCTGAACTTTTGCCACGGATCGCTGCATACAGACAATGGGGCATCCGATTTCCCGCGGGGAATCCGTGTCGCCATGGCACTGCCATCTGTACCGCTCTTAGGAACTGCTACTCCTGGAGTTGGATCAAACAAGGGGTCTACATGGGGTTTTTAGCAGCTTCGCATGTGAAAAATCATCCAAGGGGTCAGATATACATGATCACGATTGTATAAGGAGTGATTCATACATTTAGTAACTATCACACTGATTTTTTGCTTGGATCGATGACTCTCACACTGAAAGGAAATTGTGCCGAAGACAGTTTCTTCCCAAACATACAGAAGTTAACATTTTCTTTTTTTTTTTAAATCCATTTTTAACATCATTTCCCCCCAAAACGGAGGTTAGATGTGCTTGCATCAAATGCAATTACTAGACTAAGTATAGTCCTTTTTTTTTGAGCAAGATTTTTACAGATTGTTTTCATTGTTCACTTCATATCCAGCTACCCTGCTTCAGCAAATGCAATCCTTGAGTGTACATGCAATCCTGGAGTTCCTCAACAGTTACTGTACCATTCACTGTCTCTCAAGGAGGTTCCCACTTCCTCCCAGCCTGCAGCAGACCATTTAGTGCACTTCTCCGCCCATATACATGACATGTGTATTTGGTACAATTGTACGCGTATGTCAGGCCTCGAAATTCACTTTTCTTCCTATTGTCCCAGCACTGTCCCAAAATAAATTTCAATTGTCCCGAAGTGTGGATGAACTGTCCCAACCTGTTTTTTGGGAGGTATTGTATGACTTCAACTTGAATTCAACTTTATTTTGCTTACATTCACTCCCAGGCGCACTATAATATTGCAGAAAATTCGGGAGTCTTTTCCGGATCCAAAAGCCGGGACGTATGTCTGATAAACAAAAGAAAGGCTGACATTCTGATGTTGATTATTTCTTAGTGCCCCAAAAATGTCCCAAACTGTCTTTTTATTTATCCAAGCCTAAATTTAAGTGGTCAGTGGCCACTGGATCACCTTAAGTTTAATCTCGAGCCCTGCATGTATGGGCAACAGTGTAGCTCCAGAAATTATTGAATATTTGTAGGTAGCAAATATTTCCTGTAGCTTTACACAGTAATTAAATCTATAACTTGGTCCTTTTCCTCCCATGTTCTACAGGATTTGACTACACCCATCCTGATCTGAAGAGAAACTATGTAAGTATTTCAGCCAGGTGTCAGGAATTCCTGAACCTGTAACTTATGATTTATATATAATGTAATAATAGGTTCTGTATGATTTCTCCCAATCAAGTAATCTGAACAGTCCTGTTCTGCAACTTAGTTTTGTAATCTACTGTTTCATATAATTAGTGTTTTGCATACTGACTGTACCAATTTCAACACAAATTGTAACTGCAAGCATAACAAAGTTACCATTATTTATGGAAACATAGTAATCTGCCATCAGTTAAAATAATTTTAGGTCTTACAACAAAAACAGACAGTATGAAATTCAATGTGTTCCACATAAAAGCTCAAAAGTAGGAAACTGACAGGGAAAAGGATTAAATCTGCAGTGACACTGACATTGTAATAGACAGGGCTGGGACCAAGGTGATAGACAGAGTGAGATATTATGCACTCGGATAAGAAAGGCTATGTGGATCAGAAAAAAGTTAACTTATAAAATTAATATACTCTAGTCACAAACTGTGACAAGGGGGATTTAAACTTTGTGACCGTCACTTTTGGGACCCCACTTAATATATGTTATACAAGGTGCATTTTTGTGAATTTTTGGAGATTGATCAATATTTTATTGATTTATTGATTGATTTTTTTATTGCTTGCTTGATTGATCGATCATTTTTATTGATTGATTGATTGATTGATTTCTAGGACCCAGAGGCCAGCTTTGACTACTCAGATCCCAAGAACTTGAATGGAAACCCCATGCCTGTTCCTGAGTCTTCTGACCCCATGAAGTAAGTACATATTAGATACTCTCAATACAATAAGTACTTAGTACACTTACTGTTACAGTAACACAGCTTCTCATTATCATTTGTTTGCTTCGTCGTGCGTGATAGTCATGATTTCTGTGCGATTTATTGGAGATGCCAGGCTGCCCAGCATGCAAGCTTTTTTTTGTGCATACAAAGCAACCTTTTCTCAGTTTTCAAGTTATTCGGATTACTATATATATATATATATATATATATATATATATATATATATATATATAATTACGGCTTCTGCATCTGTCCGGCCTTGGCCAGCATGTGAGTGATTCCTTTACAAGTGGCCTGGCTTACTGATTGCCTAATAAGATAAACAGTCAGTGTTGACAGCAACCTGAAATACTGAAGGGCAACCTGAAAAAAGGAAGAATTTTGAACCCTGCACGCCAGTTCTGTACAGTAAGCACAAGCTCCATAAGAAAGGACTGGAAGTTTTATCCACTCACACCAGGATGGACTTCTACTCTTAAAGAATACTGCAACTGTACAGTATAATAAATATATGTCCTCCAGAATGGCCTATTTGTTAGTAGTATTTCTCTGGTGTTTCTGAATCAGCAGCATTCACCATTTTTTATTTACTTGTTGTGTCATTTGTATAATTACCAAAATGTGTGGGAAGAATTTTAACTTAACTTTAGGCCACAGCAATTTAATTCTTGGTTAACAGATTTTTCTAGAAAAATAATGGAGCGGGCGGGCGAAAAAAAAAAACAGGCCTAGGCATCCTATTATGGCCCAAAATGTTACGATAGGAGCCATGAAGTCAACACACCAGGCTGGTTCAAAATTTAAACAATGAATTTTGAACTTTTAATGATTACCATTGCATTGAAAGATGGAATAACTGTAACAACTAGGATGAAAAGGGCTGTTTTCAATTGTTCAGGGCAAAATATGAGCATTTTGCATTCTGAATTTTTATTTTTATTTGCAAATCAGAAAAAAATGAAGCTGGCGAATCCGTTAACCAAGAAATTAAATTGGTGTGGTCTTAGGGTGATTGGGCAAGAAAATGGGAGTAATAACCATAACTAAGGAGGATGTGGTTCCTTCTCTCCACAGTCATGGTACAAAGTGTGCAGGAGAGGTTGCCATGGAGGCAGACAATGATAACTGTGGAGTGGGCGTGGCCTATGATGCTAAGATTGGAGGTGAGAGGTTTTATCTTGTCCATTGTCATATATCTGAATGGTCAATACTTTTCATAGAAAATTCCCTAGCCATGGAACAAAGTATGCAGGTGAGCAGACAATGGTAACTGTGGAGTGGGCATGGCCTATGACGTTAAGATTGAAGGTGAGGGGGGTGTACAGGGCTAGAAATACATGATTGTACTTTTTTCTGTTTACCTGCACTTTGAAATCACCTGCACCTGTCCAGATAAATTTTACCTGTACCATGCACTTAATATTTTAAAGTGGATATAGAATATAAAAATATCTACACTCTATAATAAAGTGACATTCGTCCTCTATTCTGTTCAAATTACAACATTTACATATTAACCTTTGTTCCAGGTGGGTGCGGGTATGTCTTCCAGTTTCAATTTGTAGTTTGTGGCAGATTATCTTTAGTCTTGTGACTGCATTTCTGACCTTCAAATTTTCATTACTTACTAAAGGTATTCTTCATAATATTATTGCTTTCCTTTGTGTGATCTCAGGGATTCGCCTGATTACGGGCCCTACGAGCGACGCCCAGGAAGCGGCCGCCCTCAGTCACAAACGGGACCACATCGACGTGTACTCCTGCTGCTGGGGACCTTCAGACAACGGCAGGACTGTGCAGGCACCCGGGGAACTGGTCAGCAGGATCCTGGAGGACTCCACAACATACGTGAGTCATCATAAACTGTGGTATTGTTGCCTCCAAGTGTATGGATGAAGATTTGTTATGTTTACGTTCAAGTTGGCAGAAGGAAAACATAAATAAATTATTTAATTTGCTCTATCTCTTCTTCCTCTTCTTCTTCTCCGAACAAATAACTTGAAGGTCAATGTCCTGAACCAGAGGTCTGTCACCATGGTATATAACTAGTGTTGGGGTACATCATGTTGCAATTTTATAGCAGGAGGGATTTAGACTCCTGCCATATATGAATGTGTTTGAGTAAGAATTAACAGAGCAGACCATATGCAAAGATAAACATTATGCATTTGCAAATGCAAATGGCTTTCTTTTTTATATTTTTTTGTGTGTTTGTTTGCCTGTGTATATTTGAGTACAGTAGAGTCTGTGTGTATTTGAGTACAGTAGAGTCCCAGGAAGTTAGGGGGAAACAATCATATGTAACCACAGACTGACTGAAAGTGTAGTCAAATTGGAGGTCAAAGTGGTCTCCCACAGCCTGAGTGGAAATAACAATTTCATACAAATGGTCATACAAATATATGCATCTCCACAAACTGTCAACTAATCAAAACCAGAGGACAAAAACAATGATATAATTAGAGATATAGGTTCAAGTGACTCAAGATATAAATATTGTAGATTGTGGATTTGCCTGAAGAAAAGGTAGACTAGTCAGATTGAAATCAAAGCAAAATAACTGTATATGTTACGTGGAGAAAGGTTTTCAAGTCAGATAATAAAAGTTGCAGACTGACTATAGTTTGATTTATTTGTTACCATGTATATTGTTTATTTTTAGTATTGTGCAACCACAGGGTTCAAGAGCTATACAAGTATATAAAATGAAGTCATTTCTAAAACTAATTCTAAAAGTAAACTAAATGCCTAAGAATAGCAAAAGTTACGGTCGGGAGCATATTTTTGTCTTGACTAAGAATGAAATTAACTTTTTGAGACACAGACAGACTGCTAATGCAGTAAGACGTTGTTGTCTTTGATGTATCAGGTAGAATCCTGTTCTGTTTGCAGCATATATCATAACATCCCGAAATACTCCTTGGATATGAAAGTATCTATTTTGTTCACAAGTTCGTCTCCCGCAGGAGTTGAGTCAGAATGAAGGCTATATTCACAGTCACGTTCTGCTGGGATGGAGTTTACATGGAGGGAAGAAGGTCTATCATCATGTCTTATGCGCTCAGGGTGATAAGAATTATCTCCTAGCTTACTGCATGGGTGTAGTTATCAGAGCTCTATCAGCACAGTGAAAGTTCTGTGTTGTAGATGCATATCTAGTATTATATCGGTTTCTGCTGTGAAATGTTGGTTAGCCAGGAGACACAAAATTCCTTTGTGTTTTGTGGTGAAGTCTTGCAGGATGCACAATGCAGCTTTAGTAAGTGTAATTTGTCATTGTATAAGATGTCAGGGCTTGAAATACTACTACATATATACCTGCACTCATTTGAAAATACCTGCACCAGAAAGATTTTGCATCACTCATAAAGTATGGATCATACTAAAAACTGTTCAGGTGCAATGCAGCAAATACAAATCCACATCCCCATAGTACAAATGACTAGTACGTATAAACCAATTAAGTACATGAACCAGTACAGGTATACAATGTCATGTAGACACCAGAAATACTGCATGCACAGTCCCAATTTTACCAGGCAACACTATCATCATATGATGGTGCATATCATGTTGTACATAATTGTACATTGTATACATGACTTGTACACCCAGTATTTCGAGCCTTAAATATGACTACATGTATATGACTTCTGTACACTGTAGGTCTTAGATTTTTGTAGAGTTTTTTTATATTTTTCGTCAGGTATGTTTACAATCATAACCTGCATGTTATAACCTACAAATTTCAAAACAATTTATTAAATTCAGTATAATATATGATTGTGAATTTCTCTGTATGCATTTCCCCACTAGAACTTGGCCAACAGACTCCTGGCCAACTTAATTCTGGCACCAATCCAGCTTCTGGGACCTACATGTACCTTCCTGTGCCTGACCTTTTGTAGTCTGTGGTTAGGGAATTCCACCCCCCCCCGCTATATCTGTTGTCATTGACCTGTACAAATTCTAGGGGAAACACACACAAGCACACCCAAAACAAATTGTTAGAATTTCTTACCTTTATTGTTTTCTGATTTTCAACGTTCGATCTTACCGCTATTTGATTTTGAACAACCATACATGTACATGTATGTAAATAATGGACTATTTATCCTTTCCGACCAACAGGGCAGGAACAAGAGAGGTAACGTCTACATCTGGGCCTCAGGAAATGGTGGCACAAACGATGATGATTGTGGGGCGGACGGGTACGTCTCCAGTATCTACACCATCGCTGTGGGAGCTATCAGTGTGGATGGTAGGTACAACAGGTGCACTGCTGGGCACTCTAAACACACCTGTCTTGGGGTACAAGTTCAACAAGGCCTTGTTGAACTTGCACCTTTGGTCTTTCGTATTGGGCCACACTGAATTAAGTTCTTGGTTCTTAGATGTTTGCTGAATAATGATGGAGAGAGTGAGCAAAGCAGAAAAAAGGAGCAGGCATCCAATCCTGTAATCTCAGATTCTACCACTGTGACAGGAGCCACAAAGTCAGCACATTCAAATTTGGCAGAATGTACTGTGCCTGCGCGAAACCCTGATTTTTCACGGTTTTTGTTGGACTTTTGGTCAACGTTGCATCAAAATTTTCCTGTTGCAACTGTACATACGCGAATTTGACCTTATACATGTGAGAAGTTCTATGGAAGTGCTATGCACAATACATTATGGTTTCGCGCAGGTGCAGTACATTGGTAGGTAGGCTCACAAAGTATGTAATGGTCTGGTTATCATTACAAACAGTAAATTTCAGCCATAGTAGAAAGCTGTTAAAGCAATGCTGCTTTGTAGGACGTGTGGCTGATCTTTTTCAAGAAAAGAAATGAAGTAGCTAATTGAAGAACCAAGAAATCAAACTTACATGTACACAATGTACATGTATGTGGCATCGGGAGTGTGTTTTGTCATCCAGCTTTTAACAGTGCATGTTGGTGCAATGTTTTAATTTGTATTCTGTATTAATTTTGTGACTTGCATGATTTTGTAAGTCTAACATCTCTGAGACTCATAATAATATTCTGGTTTAATTTTGAGACTCATTAAAATAAAAATGTCATGTAAGTTTCCAAGTGAAGTGATACCGATTTGCCAAAATGCACTGAGAATACAATTTTGTTTGTACATGACAGTAGCAAATTGCACACCTTTATGAAATACAAACTTTCTGAAGATACAAAAAAAAACTTATTTTGTTGGAGCACCTGCAATTATAGTAGACCTCTTTAAATTCATTGTTTTTTTATTTGTCAGGTACCATGATGGTTGGTTGTGGTATTATGAGCCTCAGAGTACAAATGTAGATGTTAACTCACTTAGGCCACCAATTTAATTTGTTGGCTCTCAGATTTTTTTCAGAGAAAATATGAAGCAACAGGGCAAAAAAATAAGAACAGGTCTAGACATCCTATTATAGCCCTAAATGCTATGATAGGAGCCATGAAGTCAACACAAAAGCCTGGGTTATTATTTAAACAATGAAATTTGAACTTTTAATCAAACCACTGCATTGATAGAGGGAAAAACTGTAAGAACTAGGAAGAAAACGACTTTCCTCAAATGTTGGGGGCAAAATATGTCATTGAGCATTTTTTAGTTGATTCAGGACCAGAATCTTTTTTTTTTTTGCAAATCAGGAAAAAATGAAGAGGCGAATCCGAGAACCAACAAATTAAATTGGTGTGGCCTTATCTGTAATCGACTAACATTGCACAATATATACAATGTACATCAATGGTGGTGGGTCTAACTGCTTGTTTCCTGTCAGGGTTGTCAAGTTACTACATGGAAGCTTGCTCTCCCACCATGGCAGTAGTCCCCACTGGTGGAAAGCACACTAACCCTGCTGACCTGGAGAAAATGCTTCGTTCTGGCATGGTGTATGAAGAAGACATTGTGAGTTAATTAGACAGTAGGCTGTTGGCTGATGCAGAGAGCTCAAATTCTATGGTTCAAAAGCAATGAACGACCATGAATGGAACACTGGAAGTGACAAAATTAATGATTATTATTATAATAAATGAACTTTTTGAATTTCTTTGACACATTGACACCTGTTGAATTTGAGAATAACTGACTCAGCCATCTATAAAATCAATTATAGAGATAGAACAGAGCATCAATACAATGTATATGCAGTGCCAAATTTGATGGAAAATTATATTTTATTTTTATTACCATGGAACGATACACAGAAATTATTTGATAAGTATAGATGAATATATTTATGAAAAGATAACATTCCAGTTCATAGTTCATTTAATAACGTGGAGAAAAAAACATTTAACATGAAAAATAAATTTCTATCAATTTTAAACCCATCTTGACTATCCAATGCATTTTGGTGACTGCAAGTACCTGTTGAATGCTCTATCCTGTCTCTGTACTGTACTAAACTACCAACATGAACTCTGACTGACTCTGTCTGTACCTACTGTACCCTGTTGTCTAGGCCTTTCCTCATACTACGCTGAGTCCTGCTCCCCCACTATGGCCGTAGTGCCGACTGGGGGGCAGCACAGAATGGACGATTTTAATGGCGACTTGGCAAAAATGGTCCTGCGCGGGGAAGTTTATGAACGGAATGTTGTGAGTTTTGACTTTTGTTGTCAGTAAGGTGTGGCAAGAGAATGATGGTGAAGGGTTTTACTTGATATGATAAATTTAAAACATCTTGTACCCCGGTGAAAATTTTCAGGTGACAGTCATCTCTCTGTTTTATGTTTTTGCTGGTATTGGTTACAATGTTTGTGGTTAATGTGGTTGAACGGTGCTAGCACAAGATGTACGAACATGCATAGTCCAGTGGTTTAGTGATCCTGCCTTTGGACTAAGAGGTTGTGAGTTCGAATCCCGGCTGAATCGTCGCTCACCCGACATGCACTCTACTGTTTAGGGTCGCAGTCCTTAGGACGGGACGTTAACTGTGGTCCACTGTTCATTGTGCTTGTCGAAAAGAGCTAGGGGAATTTCCCCGGTACAATGAACCTGTAAATACTGTACATAGCGTCTGTCTTCTCTGTCACAACCAGTGGAAGAGTAGCTCTTCAATGAGCTAAACTGGTTCGAGATCACTTTCACGAACATGATGCATGGGTGGATTACTGTAAGTTCATGGTAGCAAATGTTCATGGTCTGAAAAAAAAAATGGAGGTGTTCAGAATTATATCATCAGGTGGCAGCAGGCGCACAAGTTTTGTGTCTTGTGTTCTGAACATGCAATGTTCAGGGTTTTTGTGTGGTAGCGAGTCTTTGGGCTCCGGAAGAAGTGACATATGCCCTCTAGCAGCTTTCACTGGACATGCAGGGAGACTTGTGATATTCAGAATGATTATTGTTAGCAGTCAAAATATAAATAATGGGAGATGTTCACTTAGAAATGACAGTCAGTGAGTAGTTACTGACATCATTTATTTTGTAGTGTATATAGTATCAAGAATGATTTTCACCAACCTTTGCATGAACCTTGTGAATGAGTGACCTTCAGGAAGTGTAGGTGGCAAAATATGATGCCTTACAAATGTGTTTGAATTGAAAGCTGAAAACACAGCTGTCAGCCATGTTTGTTTATATTCTGGTAGTTTGTGGTGGTACCACAAAAAGAGTGTGCCTCGTGTTGGCTGTTTTAGCACCAACCATAAATGCCAGCACATTACAAATAACTTTTAAAAAGTTGAAAAATGGAAGTAAGTGACAATCACATTTTTTCAATTAAACTTAATGCCCCTTTAAATGTGTAATGGATAGGAATGCAGCCTTATTGGTGGTGTAATGATGAGAGAGACTGTACAGTAGTTTTCTCACATTCTGCCAGAGGTCTCCTTTGTGATGTAATCAGCCATCAGGCAGACCAGGGGATGTTATATTAATTATTCATCTCAAGTCAACATATGAAGTGTCGTGTATCTGCAGTGACATCACACAAAGCCTCCAAAGCCCGGCTTAATCACCACAAGTTTAACACGATGTGTCTGATACTCAGGAAGCATCTGTACCCAAAGCCTCTTTTATTTGGCATTGTATTCAATTCTTCCCCCCTCCCTCAGTTTTTCAAAGTCGACGTTTTTAGAACTGCTTGTATATGTTCAGTGCCAGTTTCGGCGCCCAAAATGGCAGATTTATGTAATTTGCTAATAAAGGGATTTGTCTCAATTTCTTAACGAGGTTTGAAGCTGCCGCTGAGCGAATCGGCTGCCGTTGAGTGGCAAACCAATTTGTTTGCCCAATCCCTGTTCTCCCTGGGTCACTGCCAGCGAAAATCCCCGCCTGGCGGGTTCCTGCCCCTAATTTTCTCCCAATAATGGCTAAACCTAGCGAAAAGACAGTTTTCTGGAGGTTTCAATCATAACGGTGGCCTTTAGAAATGAGGTTGTGGCGAGGTGTAGGGAGGTGGGAGGCCCCGCGTTCTGTCGGACATGACAGTCTCGTTACCCGTGATGGATCACTCCGGAGAGCCTGGGCAGGGAGCGCCAGATTTTCTGGGAACCACTGCTCGTAATTTACTTTAAATCCCCCTTAGTGCTATCAGAGATTTGGGGGTCAGGACTGAGGCTGACATCCGTGGAACGGTAAGCCACCGCCAGACCTGGGCCGGCTCAAATCCTCCGACACTGCTTACAGCGCAATCACCAACTCTCCAACAAATTTGAACCTCATCTATGGCTGCTGAACGCCCTTTAATTTCATACAGATTATTTCCATATGTATGGAGTAGTCATTTCCTCTTCTGTGATCCCTGTTCAAATCCATGGTTGGTGTGACCCAAGGTGAATTAATGCCTCACCTCTTGTGATCCTACCGTTTGTTTGAGTACGATCAGAAAATCGAAGTAGCACGCAGGTGAGGAAACTTTTGCAAATTCTGTTAAGTTATACATCATAATAAAAACTTGTGGAAGTTGACCTTGAAAATTAACAGGAGAATTCTCTTGTAGATTGGACAGGTTTTACTCAATACTATGTTTGAAAAAAAATGATGTTGTGCCCTTTGTGTAGATTTGAACCTTCAACTGTCACTAGTGCTTTGTGATGTTTTCTGTCATTGGTCAGGCAGATTGGATGATCTACCTTTAATTCAATCAATAGTAATTTGGGCCATGGATCACTGTTTGAACAAGGAATGATCTGTGCTCTCTATCAAAATAAGATCATACCCAGAGACCTGTTCGTAATGATTTGGCAAATCGGTCCTTCTGATGATAAGAAGGTAGGGTAGAATACTGTACCACCAAAACTGTACCTGTTCTCAGATTCTTTTTGACAAGAATGAGCAAAAACTCCTAATTCTATCTAGTATGTACTGGGTGCTTTTAAACTTACCACAAGCTGAATGATTTTTCACTTCCAAATGTAGTCAAGTAATTATGTTCACTTTGTATGTAGATGTAAAAGTGTAATATACTTTCTCCCAAGACACCAGATTAATTTAGCAAGTTGTCTTTGGGTGTATAGCACACGTATGAGGAGCAACTTGAAGAAAAATTATAGAAACATAATTCACACTTCTAAATCTACCACTTATCCCAGAGGAATAGCCTCGGGCACTACTATCAAATAAGGAGGAAAATATTATGATTTTGAATGGGCTACATAAAAACATCATCAAGTTCTTCATTTGTAAGACATTCCCAATGGTTCTATTGAGGACAATGCTAAGCTCACACAGTTTGGTCCCCTGAAGGTTGCTTTTTCTGCAGTTAACTGTTTCATTGTGGAAGATGATCCCCCCCCCCGTAAACTTTTACTTCTTCCACACAATTGTTGCCTTCTGGAAACAAGCTTAAGGCAATCAGAGATGGCAGAATTCACCCCCTTACCCATACTCCCTTAATTTGCCCAGACAGCAGTTCTGATTAACTATTTGCATTGTGTATTTTAGGAATCATGTAAAGACATTGTCAAGCAAAAAAAAAGAAGTTCCTTGTAGCCAATTAAGAATCGTCTGCATGAAAGAGGTGGTATTTTTTAGTTAAAGAATCCAGTGCAATTTTAGGGTGGCAAAACTGGATTTTCAAAGTAAATTTTCTGGTCATTCTTTTAGGTATAGTGATTTAATACTATCCCATGGCATATATGTGTGAGGCTAACATGCGCATGCAATGTAACTAAAGGAAAACAGTTGCTTGTTCTGTATCCTAGGCTCGTTCTAGTGATACAATGGTACGGTACCTAAAAACTCGTAGCTGATATTTCAAATGTTTCAACTATCACAAATTGTGCCAAGAATGGGCAGTAATCGTCTGAATGTCAGACAGATTTCCTTATCCAGAATATTTTGTGTTCTGCCACCCTGAAATTGCATTTGGATGCCTTTAACTTGAAGTTCTGGGAGGGTGTACCTACATGTACCTTGCAGCTGGCACTGGTCCTGAAGGTTGGAGGTTATTGTAAGTGACATTTGTGGTACAGGGAAACTTGTCCGGCGATATTGGAAGTGTCACAACACTTGCTGGGAAGAACCAGAGTTCATTTTCATGCCACATTTGTCAGGGTGTCAACACCATTTTGGTGAAGGTCAACCCCGTCTAACAACTATTTCAAGGACTTTTACAATCCAAAACTGTCCAAACCTACATGTATCATGGGTCTGTTCTAGAGTTTTTGCTTTGTGAGGCCAGAACAATTTCATTTCTGGGTTGAGGATTTGCTGTTACAGGGCTGGAAATACTGGGTGCATGTGCACCTTATTAGCATAGTGCACCCAAAATTGGAGTTGTGCACTTATTTTTTTCTGTGGTTGCACTGGTACACCCAAATATTTTTGTAAATATTTTTAGCATTAGAAAATTAATGTATAATACTATACCAGATATTCTTGGTCTCTAAGTAGCAGAAAAATAATAAAATCTTTGTGGTAGTACTTGTAAGATTTTGAAGTTAGCTCTCATTTTAGAGTCAAGCTCAGAAGAGGAGCAGTAAGACCTTCAATTAGGTATTGTTTTATATGGTGCTCTCAAAAAGTTTTTTGTGCACCTAAATTTTTAGGTTGGGTGCACCAGTGCACCTATTCCCAAAAATTAATTTCGAGCCCTGCTAAGTGCATATGTTTTATATAGACACACCATCCTTTTTCAACATATCTTTATTAAGGGCAACTGAAGTCAAGGTCCTCATAGACACACAATGGATGTCAACATCATCTGTGATGTTAAACCCTAATGTAAGCTGAGCTTTAGTCATATTAGGATATGCATATAACTGAGATAAAAACAAAAACAAAACAGTATAGTCAACAACAACAATTTTATCCCCTCTGTCATCTTAAGTTACCCTGTCAGTGAATAAAACTTATTATTAAATGTTTGGTACATATCGTGTCTTTCTGGAATATTCCATTTCCTATGCTGACTTATTAAGTTCTTGAACAACTCGCTTGTCAGTTCCAGAAAGGCATGACATTCTAACAGGTTTTTCAGTTGTCAGTTGTTGGAAGACCGCATGAATGACCACTTTTCAAACTAGTGCACATATTTTCCGGATGCAGAATTATAGGAGCAGTCATTGTGTTAAACACATATTTTCTCAGCAACAGTAGAAGAAGTCCTTGTTATTTTAAAATTTACAATTATCAATTAGTAAAAAAATTATAGAAATCATAAAATTAAAATAATTAAACCATAGCAAAAACATTATTTGAAATTTTTGAACCCTGGAAGACTAGTCATCATGGACTAAAGGGTATTGAAATAAACAAAATAAACGAAATGTTAGCCAGCCAGGTATGTTGACATTGTGGCTCCTGTTAGTAGTTACTGTAACATTTGGGTCTGTCACAGAACGTGTGTTTCTTGTTCTTTTGCCCACCCACACCATTTACTTCCTGCAAAAAACCAGAGAACCAATAAATTAAATTGGTATGGTGTGAATTTTCCCCCATTGATTCATCTTTGCAAGGAGGTCCTAAAAATTTTGGTTCTAAGCTTTATTTGAATCAATAACATCAGTAGAAAGTAGTCTTTTTTTTTGCAGTAATTAATGATTAAAGTTTAACATAGTACCCTGGATGATAGCAAGGATTATGATGCACATCTTCATACAAATTAGACATCCATTTATGAAATTTATAATGATATAAATAGCCACTTTCATGCAAGGTGATTGGCAATGACAACATTCATTCAAATTGCATGGAGGCCAGCAACTGTGACCTCACTGACTCAGATTAGCACAATTTTATCACAGCAATCATCTAAGTGTAAAAATATAATTTCCTTCCCAAAATAGGAATCTCCAGTGAAACATACAAACTGACATGATCATTGCATCGTCCTTACAAAATTTATGAAAGCAGCTTTGAAAATGTGTGGAGAAAAGGAATATAGCTATAGCTGTGTCAGTCTGTGAGGAAATTACATTAAAATTAATAAAATTATGACAACATGACAGACTGTAGGTTGTGTTTCTATGTTTACAGAGCTGTGCTGATTTTTCCCTCAAATTCTTCACCTGATTTTTCTTAGAAGCAGAGAAAAAAGATTCCCGTTCCACTTTTGATGTGTACGCTCCATTCTTTTCTGCTTGGATAGCCATAAGTCATAGTGGAAGAATCCAGGAAACAAAGCCTCTACCTTGCACAGAAATAGATCTGGGCAGACTCACAGCAGGGTGAGACCATTAGTACCCTGTACTGCCACCACGCTGTCAGCAGAAACACACACCTCCCGCCCATTAGGGACCCGGGCTGACTATAAATCAAAGGTACGGAATTGGCCGTAGCACTGCTCATCTGGCCCGCACTAATTGACCTTGTCTAACCTTTGACCCACGGCAACCCCTCGCCGAGATTTCTTCCCACCACCGCGTAGCGACAGCCACTTTTATCATGGCCCATCTGAGGTGCCCACCACTTCTATCATTCCCGACTTGAAGGAAGAAATTGCCATTTCTTGTAGCAAGTAGTCCCCCGTACGTGCTTTGCCGGTCGTTTGGACCGCCGCTCGTTAAATTGGCCATGAGGGGGGATTTGTAATGAGCGTGGTACATTGAGCAGTGTTGCCCCCGTGCATCGGGGAAGGATAAACAAGACGATAGATCTTCCTTACGTTTAACAGTTCCCATGTGGCGGGACCAGCCCCAGATCAACTGGACTGCGGCAAGTAGAAATTGGAAAGCCCCCCAATTTGTTATGGTTGTTAGCGATCTGATCCGCTTCCTTCTGCAATTTTCGCATGATTTAGGCTGTCACTTGCTCCAACTATTTCAATTCCCCATATTGCCACTGGTATAAGATATGGAGGCAGTTTTATCGTGTAGGGATCAGTGTAGGTTGGCACAGTTCCATCTCGCTGCCTGATTGGGAATCAATCGGCCAATGGATTGGAAAAGACTTGATGGATACGGCCGGGCTGGGAAACCTGCCCTAATAGTTTTTATTAGCTGAAACGACTTGTTCCTCGGGAATTATATGATCACCTAGTGTTCTAATCAAGCACAGTGTGCACATTTGTGTGATCAGCAGAGCTGGCTCCTATAGGCTGTGGCACTCATCTATCCCGCTCCAACCAGACCGTGTACATCCTTCAGCCAGGAACGGCCAATTTCCGCTGCAACAAATTTGTTAGATTTCAGTGATCTAGTGGGAGTGTTTTACTCCACATTTAATTGTCGCTCCCTGAGTGAGCGTTCTCCAGTCAAGGCTGCCTAAACACGGGACCAGTAAGAAAAACATTAGCATGGCCCATGAGTTCTCTGCATCACCTGTGTCCAAGTCCACTGTTGTAATGAATTAGCCACTGCTTGGGTGTAAAATGGGGTAGGGGATGGTTATTGATACTGGTGCTGCTCCGCTGCCCATTGAACCATGTGGGGGTGCCACCAAGGATAAATCCATTCCTGCCGAAACTGTCGATTGAACCCGACAACCCCTATTTCAATATTTTGACACTGGTGGCAGCTTGAAGGATTCCGAGCGGGTAGGTCTGTTCCAACACGTGCCGGTCCGCTGCCTCCTTCCCCCTCCGTTATCCTATGACATTTTAATAGCACCCTGCCCTCTCCACCCCTTGTCCCAGTGCTGCCATTTTCCCCAAGATTGCTCTCCGTTTGGATGGGACAGAATGACCCCTGTCAGAGGCTCGGGAGTATCGTTCAGCGAGTTTTCCACCCCGCGGCAGCGGCTAATAAAGGAGACCAATGTCTGTCGCTTCTCCTTGAGCCCGACAACGGGTGTTCTATCAGCGAGGGCTCGCCTTGCGGAGAGGAAGACAGGTCAATCCGATAGACGGGTGCTGAGGGTGTCATCTCGATTTACTCGCAATTCTGCGGATATTGAAAGTGATTTATGACACATTAATGTTGGATTGATTGGGGGATTAGATTGGCTCTCATGTCGGGGGAAAGGCCATGTTTCCCAGAAGAACAAGGATAACTCAAGGTTGAGCTCCAGGAGTTTCTCTTGGCATCTCCTTTTGAAAAGTAGAAGCAAACAAAATGGTTGTAAATTTTGTATGTTGTGTTGTGCTGGAGAGATATAGAGAAGTGCAAAACCTGAGGCCTCAGGGATAAAGTTGGAGGTGGGCATTTAGGCACACATGGCAGCAAGGGTAGTGGATAAATTAGTAGTTCTGTATTCCATACTTTGGCTATTACGACGTTTGATAATTATGGTGATCTTGGGTTATCACAAAGACTTCTACAGTTACTATGGGCTTCCTTAGAATATGTAAATTGAATGCACTTCGCATGTGCTGCATTTGTGAAAATTCAAATTTTGGTGTGTTTAACAATGTGTATTTAAGCAGTTTTTTTTTTATACAACGGAGTCGCAGTATTCAAATACATGTAACTGCAGCTATTATTACACATTGAGGGGGGAAGAAATTTACAATCATTGAATCAGATGTATAAAACAAGAAATCCACAACAACTGTAAAGGCTTCACAGAGGTCTGAAAGCTGATTTTCTCATTTGCCATGATTGGAAATAATTTTAGGGGTAGACCCATATGAATCTCTGATTTTCCGGATTTCTTCCAGATCACCACTGACACGAACCACAAGTGCACTGACCACTTCCAGGGAACGTCCAGCGCAGCTCCATTGGCCACAGGGATTGTTGCGCTGACCCTTCAAGCCAAGTGAGTCATCTTTTACAAAGTCTACCATCATTATGTGGAAAGCTGTTGCTGTAGAGGGACTTTGAGACTGGTATTTTGACAGTGTAAAAATTATTCAATGAAAAGGTTATATAATTATATATTACATTGTAATTACTAATACTAACCTAGTAAGACCTAACCTATACCAGCTTAGAAAAAGAACAAGAAAAAGTCATGCCTTTAAGTACCAGAGTTGGCAACCAAGGATTGAGGTGTTCAAAAATTCATTCTTTCCTAGAACTATCTACATGTATAGAGTGGAACTTGCTGTCACCAACTACAGTAAAGTAGGGGTATTATCATTAGATAGCTTCAAACAATGTTTGGAGTTAGATGTTCAAGGGTTAGGTTTAACAAGTTGTTTGGTGTAATATAGCCAGCTTCCATCGCGCCGCGTACATGTACCTGCAAAGCTGGTGTGTTACACTGAAGGTTGGTTATACAGATACAATACAGAATGTACTACATGTAGTATGAATTGTGAAAGTTGATGTGTAAAAGAGCTGTTTTGTTCCCCAGCCCTGACCTGACATGGCGGGATGTTCAGCATATCGTGGTGAGGGGTGCCAAGGTGCCCAACCCTGAGGAGCCCGGCTGGAGTCTGAACGGTGCTGACCTGCAGGTCCACCACAAGTAAGGTCCACGGTCCTTGTAGGACAAGTTTCTGTATTTCATAGCTGCCATCCTCTTGCTGTAGTTCACACAAAATCAAACACACACAGACCTTGAACCTTGAACGTAGACATCAGTGATGTCATCACGGGGAGCAATGGGTTCTTCTCCTCCACTCATCTCTGTCTTCTATCAGTGAGGGTGTCAATGAAGGTTGTACTTCTTCTATTCCTTCTCTTCCTTCCCTCTGCTGGCTCCCACAGGATGAGCTGGCTGGCTAATTATAACACACAGACACATACATACAGACACATACATGTACATACAGACACATACACACATGCAGACACATACACACAGACACACACAAACACACAGGCGTATACAGACTCACACACTTCAGGTGCACACACAGACACACAGAGACATACACCATAGGACACATGAACACACACAGACAAAATACTTGAGGTCAATCTCAGGTTGCAAATTCAATGTGTTCATATGGATATTATAAGAATTAACAACAAATCTGCATATTAGTTAAAACTGAAAGATTAAAAAGCAGTTTTGTCCAAGAAAGCCTCATAAGCAAGTCTCCTGTATAGTATAACAGATAATCCCAAAACATCCTGGCACATCCCAAATGACTTTCACAATGTTATTGTCTTGTCTTATCCAGTTTTTCAACCCTCTTACATGCAATTACTGTAGATTACTGTTGATTCTGATGGTTGTGTTACATTTTCTTTCAGGTATGGTTTTGGCATGATGGATGCTAGTGCCATGGTAAAGCTGGCCCAAGAATGGACCAATGTGGGACACCAGCACCGCTGTGTTGTCACCTATGATGGCCCAGAACGGTACTGTAGCTGTTTTCTTTGTGTCTTGTTTGCCTGATCCTCAATCACATAGTATTACGTAGTTATGTTTACTGAAGGAAAACATATGTTTTTGCTCTGTTTCATCCTCTCCTTCTTCTCCAAACAGTGATAAATGACCTGACCAATGAAATGATTTGTTGACGTCTGTCACCATGGTGACTGGTGTTGGGTTACATAATGTTGCAATTTCATGGTGTGCTCAGTTCCTGTCACCATATACTTAGTAGTACATGTACATGTATGTGAAATGTGTTTGAGTAAGAATTAACAGAGCAGACCATGTCCGAAGGTAAACATTGTGCATTTGCTTTGCAAACTTTACTTCAATCTCTTGTTTATATATTAATTATACTGACCATTACGTATTAGAAAAGGCTATGGGACTACCTTGAACTATTAACTTATGATATCATTTTACCTCCTTCTAGTGATATCCCTGCTGGAGGAGAGGTAGAGCTGGAGTTGGAGGCAGATGGCTGTCACGACACCAGGGACCTGGTGGAGGTTCTGGAACACGTGCAGTCTGTCATGACCATCGACCACCAGCGCCGCGGAGACCTGTCCGTCAAACTCACCTCCCCGAGCGGGACCGAGTCCCAGCTGATGTCCACGCGGTCGCAGGACGACAGCTCGGACGGGTTCCAGGAGTGGCCGTTCATGACGGTGTACAACTGGGGCGAGGACCCCAGCGGGAAGTGGACGGTCGCGGTGAAGGACAACCCCGGGAGCAGGCGTAAGAGGAGCAATGAACCTGTGGGAAAGGTGAGTTGGTTAACAAGTATACTCTGTGTTGTATATATAGATTGTTCAGAAATGTTGATAGTTCCTGTAATAATCCTGCCATGTCACCAATCTTAAAGGCACTTTTTTCACAGTGAAAATGAGTACTTAGCTTTGGTTAGGAGAACTTAAATGGAGGTCCCGTGTTTGAGGAGAGCCACACCTTGGGCACGCTAAAGAACCCACCACACTTATTGAAAAGAGTAGGGGTCCTCCCCATTTGAGTGGATCAAACCATTCTGGCCAAAAATGGAGAAGCTACTAGGACATTGTCAAACAGAGATGCAAACCCACACAACCCAGCCACCCAAAACAATACTTCATACCCAGAAGTAATAATTGGGTAACAATTTTCATGTCTAGAAAACAGGGACAGCCTGGCCTGAGCAAATATTCCTAATAAAACATCAAATGTAAGACTTGACTTTGCATGTTTCAGGTGAGGGCGTGGTCACTGGTTCTGTGGGGAACGCGGGATGAGGACAAGTTTGACCAGCGTGCGGCAGAGATGGAGAAAGCTGCGCGCTGCGTGGACGCTGAAGACAAGGAGGACTGTGCTCTTAAGGCGCTCGTCAGCGATTTCACCAAGGATTTCACCGACGAAGTCATGCCAAACGACATCGTCCCCGCAGACGAGATGGAAAGCCAGAAGGCAGAAGAAGGTGTGAGTATCGATGGCTTACTTAACACCTTCTACCACGCTGTCGACAAGATACAGCGCGAGAAGGGAAACAAGAACGACAAGATCCCTGTCACGGTGGAGCAGGCTCGGAAATTCATCAGCAACATGGAGCGACAGGACCCCGCGTGGCTGAAACATCAGATCAACGAGTTAGAGGATCTCATCCAGACCATGAAGAAGATGGACAAAAGGGAGGAGGAAAAGTAAAAGTTGTTCTGTATCACAGTAACAGTCAGTAACCTTTCAAACATAGGGACAACATTCCTGAAGACAATCATGTTGTGTACATCATGTACAAAATTATCTATTCATGTACAATGGACCTGCATTATGTAACATTTTTGCACAAAATATCTTGATTAAAGAAATCTTCATGGAGTATCATTTACTTCCACTTTTCAACATATTTGAATGTGCAATTGTCTCACAAATTTCTCCCACATGATGTGCACTCATTTTGTGTGCCACCACAAAATACCAAAATATAAACAAACATGGCTGACAGCTGTGTTTCCAGATTTTAAACACACTCATATTTTGGTACCTCCACTTCCTCAATGGCACTTGCAATGGAGTAGGGTTGATTCAACTTACTTTGTAAGGAAATGACCAGAAAATTGACTTTTTGCATCGCCCTAATGTTACATAATGCAGCTTTAAGAGCAGTTTTTGATGGCCTGGTAGGTCTTTCTTAGGCGGTAAGAATTGTGGCATGTGTGATAGGGATTGTCTTTACCATACTGCTGGTTCACTCTACATATAAGAGAGACTTGGCTTCCATGGTATCAGATGACTTGTGCAATACCTGGTGGATATGTTATGAATTGCAGGCCACTACTGTTTATTTAATAGAAGCCTTTATCAGCATGCCACAATCAAAATATCTTGGTTTGGTGTGATAGAATATAATGCTGGAAAAATTTTGCCAAGTCAACATGCAAAACACTAAAATAATCAAGTACTGCTCTTTTTGAAGATATCTATTCCTTGGCCCACAAGTTTATGGAGAAAGGTTAGTGACTGTTACAGCTTTCTTTGACACAGGACTTTTTGAATCTGCTTGCTTTGGTCCTGGTGCAGTTTATGTATGGTATCATGAGAAAAATTAGATAATCAGATGTTTCAATTATGGTAAAGGTTTAAGAAGAGAATTATGTGGTGAAATTGGCCTGAAAATGTGCAAACATGTATGTCAGTCCAACTGTAGGGGTACAAAACTTTAGCTGAGGGGATTGGACTAATTTTCAAACACAATTTTAGGTCTGAGGGTTGGAGGCTACTAATAATATCATTCCTTTATCTGTGAAGACCACAGATATTAAATGTAACATTACATATCATAAGGATTATGTTGACATGTGCAGTACTTGTGGCATCTTGAATCATGTTGAGATTAGTCAGATATTCACACCTCATTTTTTTGCACTAACTTTAATTCAGAAGTATAGAAAGGAATACTGTTTTTAACTTTTGTACTTGCCAATCACTGACAATCCAATATGAAATGCAACAAAGTGAGCGTGATTTGTATATCTTGCATATCCTTTATTAGGTAATATATTTTCATTGATGATTTTATGATCATATCTACTTAGAACATTCCAAGTTTATATATAAAGAGGTGTATGTATTCAAGATGGCTAAGGAAGTTTTTATAACTGGTTTGCAGTGTTGGTATATAGTCTGTGGTGAATAGTGCAATGGCAAGTAATGTTACAGCAGAGAAGAGGCATTCAATCATAGAATTATGGATATTAAATGATGTTAAGTAATATCTCTGCACTGGGATGCGTGCTGCTTCTAATATGCATTCCATGATGTTCATTGACCAAAGAATCTGTTTGTTTTCAAGTTTTGTCCAAAACAAGGAAGGCAGAAAAATGTTGAGTCAGATTTCACTTTCTGTTTCCATCATGGAGTGCCTTTGTTGCCCTGTAAAACAGCAATCATAGATCTGGTTTTGGAATGCACAGAAACATTTTTGCAATGTAGTATTGTTGTAATCAATGGTGTCATACTTTGTAATGTGCTACAGACACAAGTTTGAACCCTTCTTTGTCACGACATAGCAACTCTAAATGTTACCTTATGGTTTAAACATAATATTATCGTAGTGAAAATTATGCTCACAACATGCATCAAGTAATAATTACAATGTATGATGCAGGATGCTGGCACGTAGTATAGATACAAGTGCAAAAACAGATCAAGGAAACATATCCACCTCACAAGTTTCATTATAATTATTGTACAAGAAGGCAATCAGAATGGTGTTTTAAAGTGACTCGTACTAGATGATGTTATAACTTACATCATGGATATCAAATTGAAAATGTAAACGAGTTTGAGTTGTTTCTGTGGTATCAATCATGTAACTTGAACTTTAAATTAGTCTATCAATAAAATGGTTTTTGCATATCTAATACATTTGACTCATCTATGAGTAAGCTAGATGTGTTGTATTTTTTTAACCATGTATTAAGTATATTTCCCCACTTCAGATATTTGACTAGTAAAGAGAAATTTGTATTCCTTTTAACTTTTGATAAACCTACTCTAAGTAATCTCACAGCCGCATATATCCATACAATCACTACTAAGCGAGATGAAGCCAAAAAGAATAGAAATTAGACATTTATTTACACTCTTATATGTTCATATGTATGTAATGTTTATGTTAAAGGCATCCAGTGCAGTTTTTAGGGCTTGGAAACCCGATTTTTAAAGCCAATATTCTAGCCATTTATCTACCTAGGGAGTTGAAACCTCACTATCCCAATGTATATTGACCCTCATGGAGCAAAATTCTGACGGAATTTTACTGTCAGGGCCCCGGGATGATTTTAGGGTACCACCCAGAAAATAAAAGACTAATCTTGGACCTTGTTTCTGCAGTTTTAAAAGCCCAAAGTATGAAATGCTGATTCAAATGTGCTAATGTGAAGCAGAATGTGTAAATATCACAAAGATTGCCTTAGCATTTTTCCAGTTTTGCTGCCCCTGAAATCGCATTGGATGCGTTTAAATGCTTACAAGGTACAAGTTATAGAGTCCGGTGAAGTTCGTCGTATGATCGTTGTTAGGTCGCAAATTGATGGTGATCCTGGGATAGTCGTGCATGTCTGGGGGAGAATTCTGCTGTTTTCTTATGGTCTTGGTCTTGGAGGTTAAGGTAGCCAACATCAACTTGCTGATGATTCTGCTACACTGTAGTATTTGGGTTGTAGAATTTGGACCATCGCACACCGGGGCATGCCCCTACTCTTTTTCGAAAGGTGTGGTGGGATCTTTAACGTGCTCGAGGTGTGGCTCTCCTCAAACACGGGACCTCCAATTTACGTCCTATCCGAGGGACGTCCCTAACCGAAGCTAGGTACTCATTTACACCTGAGTGAAGTGAGGAAATTCCCCAAGGGCACAAGATCGGTGACATGGGTGGGGATCGGTCCCGAGCCGAACGTGCTACCGCTGCGCCAAAGGTTGTCTTAGACCCTTTCGGCAGTTGGTTCTGTGGCAGTCTGCTGGAAAATCGTACGACGTCAATATCGCACGACAACCTCCGACGAAAGTGACCGGGCCGTAAGGTCCTCATATCTGGAGCATGTCTGTTGAATGTGCTGTTGGATTGTTGATGAAGCGGCTGCTAGAAGAAGTTTCTTCTCTCATTCCTCAGGCGCAGGTCCCCGCCTCCAGCTACCGGAGTGGAGCAAAGTTAATACACTGTGCTTATAAAACCTGTCGCAGAGAGAGTCTTCTGGGCTTTCCCAATTTTTTGCCTATTCATCTCAATTACGGCAACATTGTTAGTCCGGATGACTCCCCAAATCTCAGCTGTATTGTTTTGTTGTGTTCCCGACTCTGAGCTAGATTTTGCGCTTGTTCGTCCCGTTGACTGACAAGTCTCACTGGGGGCGAGCTTGATTAATCACGGAGGGTTTGTCGATTTCTGGCTTCACCCGAATCAAAGGCTTTCTCTACATCATTATCGGTGGGAGGGCCCCAGGTAGCTGTTGTTTGACAGGAGGGACCTCTAGCTGTAATAATTCTGTAATGATTATGGGGAAATGTTGGCAAAGGGGGCAGTCTCCGCTGTTAAGTCGCTGTGAATAAATTCCTTGTGGGCCCGTCGGCAGGCCTGTAATAGGGGAATGTTAGCAGAGGTGGCGAGGGTTAATTAACAAAGTGTCTGCCAGCACGACAGAGTGCCCCAGGGCCGCCAGCCTCGCGCGCTTCCAGCTGAGTGAAATGACTTCTGAAGAACTGTCGCGCGTGTCAGTGTTCCCCTGACGACTCTGACATTATCATACGGACAGATCAACCTACACAAAGTCTCACCACACAACAAGTCTTCCACACCGATTCCTCAATCCCGCACATTTCCACATTCTGGTCATGCCAGAAGTTTTCTCCAGGTTAAATTTTTGATGAGCACACGTCTGTTCTCTTTTGCTCCGGGCTGGGAAGTTATTAATTGTGGGAAAGAAGAACCTGAGGGAAACGATGATTCATATTTATTCTTACACCTCGGGGCCTGCTTCATGGCAGTGTGATCCAACAGAAGAATCATGGCGTTATTGATAGAGAGCTCTGAGTCAGTCAGCCATGCTCATTTCACATACATCACATGGTATAGATGAGGACATCCTGTAATATAACACAGTCATGACTACGGTAATGACGTGGCCTTACTTAGTAACAAACACAGACAGCACTCGCTGGTCACTTTGCACTTTTCTCCATGAAACTTAAAGGTGACAGTTAAATCTTGGTATAATGTTTTGAGCCAATTTAAACCCTGAAGCATCACTTAATCTATCCAATAACTGTGATTTATTGAGCGGGTTTAAAGTAGGCCAAAGCCGTCCCTTCGTAAGTGCAATTTCAGAACGGCAAAAGAAAATATTCTAGATGGGTTAATCTGTCTATTTTTTGGCATCATTTCATACGTGAAGTCGTTTAAATAGCCCCAAAACAAGTCACTTGAGGCGTCTCTTTGTTTTAGGCACCACCCATAAATGGCTAGAATCAGCGGTTGAGCGGTGATTGAGCCTACGTACGAGGTGTCTGTCAGGGACATCTCTTCAGTGAAATCTATGACATGTTATGGAATAGGATTGATTGAAGTTACTACATTGAAAGAATGACCAGAAAATTGACTTCCAGTTATGGCACCGTGAAATGACATTGGATGCATCTGTGATATGGCATCTACATGTACGGTAAAATACTTGAAATTTGTATAAACAGTATCCATACAGTAGTAATCTGTATGTTCTAGATGGTTGTGTTGTGTATGGTTGTCTTAAACTTCCATACTGTGTAGAACTGAAGAAGGGCCGTGCCGGCTGGCAATGTCGAGAAGTTTCGCCACAGATGTGCAGCAGCCGCAAGCTTTTTTCCACCTCTTTTATTGCCAGAAATTGCTTCTGACAGCCCAAGCTTTTCTCTTAGCCTCTAGAGGAATAAGTGCACGCTCTACGTACAAGGCAGCTCAGACTGTACCCCGTTTAAGTGGAGACTACTTTCTAGTTGGTTTAGCTAAGTGCAGTTAACCACACAGGGATCCACACATCCCTTGTCTCCACGGACTTCTGGGTTTAGGAGTTACACGGAATGCCGTTTTACTCGCAGCTTGTGGGGTTACGGGAAGTATATTTAGGATCTGAGCTGTATGAAAATCGTTCGGAAAGCATGTGTTCTGAAGTCTTCGCACATTTCAGGTTTCACTAGACTTCTCTATTAGTATTACCGTTGTTGGGTATGATGGTCTTCATTGACAACGTGGATTTCCAAAATGTATATAGGATGACTTGGAAAATGCAGGTCAAGTATGAGAAAATATTGCATAATGTTAGATGGTTATGAAATCCATGCCAACTGTTGAATAGACTTTCTGATATATCTATTTTCCAATTTAGTCGTCTAGTAGTTAACACATGCGAGGGCTAACACAGCTAACAACTTGTTAGGAAGTTGAAACGAGATAAAAAGTATTTTTGGCAACGCCTTAAGAGCGGAGCCAATAGTATAGTACTGTGATCGAGTTGATAATATTTTAAAAATTCCGTGCAGGCACCCCCTCTGCCCCAAAGAATTGATATTGTTGCATCTCAATAACTCAAGAAGCTATAAATGGTTCAGTATGATATTTAGTATGTGGGTACATGTAGGTGTCAGCAAAACGAATGGCAAGTTGCAACCCCCTCCAGCGGCTTTAGTGGTACTGTAGCAGAACTTTTGGTTTAGATATCTTGTGTTCTGAACATGTTGTGTTCACGATTCTTCCTTAGCAGCTAGCTCTTGCTTTTTTTTTTTGGCTCTAGAATAATTTATACAGAGTTACACAAGGTACCCTGGCAGCTTTGGTCTTTTTGTTTTCTTTGGAAAAGGATAACTAACTTGGTGGTGACTGGCATGAGAAATTGATTATGCACATCAGGACATAATTTGCATCATAGGTGTGGAAATATATAATTCCACTGCGTTCCATGATAGGATTTTCAAGCATGTGATATTTCATACTTCTAATGAGAGGAGCATTAACAGATATCAATTGTGCAGATTATATTTAGACATGCATAATTAAAGATAAAATGGTAGAATACAATAGTGATAAGTTGTGGGAGATTCATAGTTGCGACATTTCGAAGTTGATGAATATGATTCAACATAGATCATACAAAATGGGATGTCATTTGCACACTGAAGGAGAAAATACTATAATATAATAATAACTCTCTATTCTATCACAGGATAGGACTGTACTTTTGGACGTTTGTAATTGGGATGTAGAAGATTATCAACAGATTTATGCAAATGAGGGCCTTATTTGCATATCTATTAATACACTTAACAGTAAATCATGAGATTTTCATATTAAATGTATCATATGTCACTTAAAGGCACCCAAAGGATGCGGTTTCGGGGCAGTAAAGCAGTGGATTATCAAATTCAATTTTCTTATCATGTTTTAAATGTAGTAAGTTGACTCAACCCTCTCCCATAGCATACTGATACCTTTAAATTTGATGTTCTTGACAGAAAACCGTTACGTATTCCGTATAATAGACTGGTTCTCTCTATTTATTGGTGGTACAAAAAACTCCTGACGTAGCTTGTTTTGGGGCTATTTCAAACGAGAGAAAATGCTGAAATACTTAACTTGAAGTATGATGTGATGACGAAAATGTGCTAAGTAAATGTCAATATCAGACTGACTTCCTCACCCAGAATATGCTTTGTTTTGCCGCCCTGAAATTGCGTTGGGTGCTTCTAAGTTAAGGTTGTTACATCATGCATAGATTATGCGACTTAGGGCATACGCCGCCAGGGTGTTCGTTACACACATGCATGTTCTATTTTTGACGAAGTAAAGTTTTTCCCTTGAAAAGAAATATAAATATTCCTAACCGAAAGACGCATCGC